CCTTTTGAGTCCTAGGGCGAAATCCACTGCAGCTTTGCAGCTTTGCTTTTGTTGGGCTTCCCCCAAACACTTCAAGCAGGAAGTGTGGAGGTCACTTCTGGGCATAGACTTGCCACAGGCTGTGCAGGGTTTAAACCCTGGGGACCAAGGCATGACCCAGTAACAGGGGAGAAGGGGAGGGGATGGGGAGTACCCCCAGACGAACTTCTAGAGAGAGCTAACTAACTAACACCTACTAAAACTAACTATATCAAACTATTTACAGGAAAAATCTGCTAAGAGACAGAGAAGGCTTGCTGAAGCTAGAGATAACAAGAAGGAACTGAGGTGTCGGCGGGTTGGCAGGGCCCTATATTCCGTGCCATGAAGGCATGACTCTGGGGGTACCTGGATCGACCCAACGGGTGCTGCTAAGGGAAAATCTTTCCAGCTGTCATGCATGTGGCGCGCTCACGCCTAATTGGAATTGACATGAGCAATCACTCGAAGAAGAAAGGATGTTTGGATAATAAAGTTAAATCATGCCTTGATAAAATGGTTATTAATTTGAAGCCCAATATGACAGGAAAATGGCTCCTTCAGGGACCCCATGGAGTAAAAGGTATAGAAGTGTGAATTCTGGAACCACCTGTAATTAATTTGATCAGCACATATGTGGTTCAAACCAATGTAAAGATACAATTGGTGATTAATCCAACCCACACGCTGAATAAGGTTATTATGGACCTCATCTTAGCAAATATCTTGGTAATAGAACCCCATTTTGGAAAGTTTTTCCAGCCATTATGTGAGGGCTGGAAAAATTGGATGAATCTTCATGATGTCCCCAGACCATGCAAAGACTGAGTAAAAAGGGACATACTGGAAGCATTTGGCACAATGGTAGGGCTTCTTAATAGTATAAAGGAGGAAATGACTCTGAATAAAATGAATTCAGTGGGGCAACACCTAAAGGATTTAGCAACATCCCTGAGGGAATCCTTAGATCAGTTAAGCTCCACACAGGATGGGGTGGCACAGTTATTAGAGGAATGGGAGCAATCCCAAGAAAAAGATCATCTCCGTCTCTTGCGGGCTGCTGGTGCCCTCCAGAGTAATGTTTCCTTAGCCCTGGCATGCATGCAAATGCAGATGTGAATTAGTGATGTGGTAAAGGACATGATTTGAGATGGTATGTGAGGGATACTCCCATTGGAAATTAGGAGCATTCTTTGGAAAAATTCCATCCAGACTGAGAGGGATTTATAATCCTGGTGGAAAATGGTAAATTTTGCATATGATAAAAGATCTTGAGAGATTACTGATTTTGTTTTACTAGTGTCAGAAGCAGAGATAAGGTGGGTTTCCCCCACTGTAGTCTCCGGCCTTAATGCTAATCAGAGAGTGATAGAGCCCATGGATCATAGGGTATGGGTACAAAAGAGGCCCTGGGTGGAAGAAAGTACAATTGGGAGTCTGCTTAGAAGAATCTGGGATTGGATTTGAATTCACCACAAATACATACAGCCACAGAAATTATGTTTAGAAATAATAGAGGGAAAATGTCATTATGCTGTTAATCCATTTGTAAATGAATCTGTGCTTGTGTATATGGGTGATAATTCCATATGTCTTAAAAGTTAGTGCCCAGTTCTTGTAATTAATTATGTGTATCATGTATCTCATGATCCCCATGAAAATAAATGATTTTGCCATATTGTAGTTATTGAAGGATATGATTTTAAATTTCAAGTGTCTGAGTTGAAATATAGCCAATTAAAAGTGAAATACACATTGTATTCAAATGTAATAACTGCACCCATTGGAATGAACTTCTTTTACAGATATTGCTTCAGCATCCCCTTTTGAGGAATTACTTACATGCTGCTAAACAAGAGGCATGTAGGATTATGGTAACAGTCCATCGTTCTACCAGTGAAATTAAACATGTAATTGAGAGGGTTAGCAAAAATTCAGAACACAAATGGTGGGAGACATTGTTGGGATGGTCCCCCATGGCAAAAGGAATTTTTAATCTGGCTTTACAACCAATTGTGGTGATTTTGGTGTTTCAAATAGTGTTGGTTGTTTTGTTCCTGGTGCTGATATGCTGGATTCAAAGGAAGATAAATCGGTTACAAAGCCCATGCTTTTGCAAACCCTGGGTACTCCCCAAGGGAACCTACATGAGGTCTGGTCTATAATGAGGCAGAATCAGGGATGAAAACTGAGAGTGCCAGCAAGAAGATTATTGCTCGGTCTCGGCTGAGGGCTTTGAGCCTATGCTAGGCGTCTATAGTAACCCATTGAACTCATTGTGTATGTGTGTGCAGATCTTAATATTAAAGATATACAATCTGCAAGGAGGGGAGTGTTACCCAAGAATTTGTCATTCCTGCATGTACCCCAGATGGGACAGTAGTGTAATGAGCAATTCTGTATGTTCATCTACTGCAAGCTGAAAACCAAACATCACATAGCTAGGAAAGTCTTAGGCCCTGAGAGGCAAGGCCATGCAGCTGCATGTTTGCAGCTTTGCTATCACAATGGAAGATGGGACAGAAAGTTAACAGATTATAAGTATGGAAGAGAGTGAGTGAATAGCAACATCGGTTTTAAGTGTTTCGACACATTGTTGTTATGTGAAATGTTTTGATGATAAGAGATAATGAGTAGTTTTGCTGAAATTAGGAAAATAGGTGACCCACTAGGAGTTACTGTAGGTTATGTGCTTTGTTTGAATTTAACTATAAAAGATTAGGTGGAAGCACTCTGTCGTGCCAATTATTTATCAGATGGATGAGCTGTGCACCCATTGATTTATTCCTGACATCCTCTGGAGAGAAACAGTAAAGTTACCACTGTTTTGGGTTCTGAAAACCCTGGGTAACAAAACCAGACAATTACTACACTATCAAACGAACTCAAACAGGAAAATGATACAAGAGAAAAACACCCTATCACCAGTGGGTCAACACTTTTCACAAAGCAATCATTCCATATATGACCTGTCAGTCCTCATCCTCCACGTAAACCTGCGTAACACCTTCAAAAGGCAAGCCTGGAATTCATATGAACTTAAATTCATAACTCCGCTGGACACTAAAAACCATGGCCTTAACAAAGACACTGGTTTTATGGCCCATTACAACAACTTGCAACACACCCCGATGCCTACTAACCTTCCCTTGTTCTACAAGTGCAGAGATGCTAATTGCCCATTTCATTTTAAGTGGTCTCCTACAACTTGTCTGAACCCTTATGCTTAACAATCTGTCCCACCTTGTATTTAGCTTGGAAACTCTAGTTTCATTTTCCAGACCTGAAGAAGAGTTGTGTGAAGTTTGTCCCTTCCACCAACAGAAGTGGAAGATATTACCTGACCCATCTTGTCTCTTTTGCATACACTAGATTGAAAGGTATAGATGTTTAGATTATATGATATATGTGATCATTACATTTGAGTTGTAACAAAAATGGATGTTGAAGTCTAACACAATAACCCTGATGCTGGATAGGAAGTACAGTAGAACCTCAGAGTTACAAACTCCTTGGGAATGGAATTTTCTGAAATTTTCGTAACTCTGAATGAAACGTTGTAGTTGTTCTTTCAAAAGTTTACAGCTGATTTAATTTAATACAGCTTTGAAACTTTACAATGAAGAAGAAAATTCTGCTTTTAACCATCTTAATTTAAATGAAACAAGCACAGAAACAGTTTCCTTGCCTTGTCAATTTATTTTTAAACTTTCCCTTTATTTTTTTAGTAATTTATGTTTAACAGTACTGTACTGTATTTGATGATTTTTTTTTTGTCTCTGCTTCTGCTTGATTGCATACTTCCGGTTCCAAATTAGGTGTGTGGTTGACCACAGTTCCTAACTCTGGTGTTTGTAACTCTGAGTTTCTACTGTAGAACTCAAAACTGAAACCTGATATATTGAGACTCAGACTTATTCTCTTTTCCACCATTCTAACCATCTCAGTTTTCCTCTCTCTGAGTATGTAAGGCCTTTCAGACACCTTTACATTCTCAGTGCTCCAAAATTATCAAAAGGACAAATTGAATGTAAAGGTATAAAGTAGTAACTCCCCTTTCTGATGTAGTATTTATTGAAATAACATTATCATTTCTAATAGTTCATACATATTAAACATATTCAGCACAGCTACGTTTGAATATTCCATCATCCCACTACAGTGTGTGTGTGTCTGTGTGTGTATACACACACAGACACACACACACATATATGTGTATACACACACACACATACATATTATTACTGTATATTATTATAACATGCTGAGTAAAACTCTAAATAAACTTATCATTTATTTGGTGTAATCATAGCACTTTTTCACAACTATCCACTGGTTTCATGCTCCTCTCCATGCAAAATTAACTGGCACAGGACATTTCCCCTCCCATTAAACCTAATAACTCTAAAAAGATTTATCACAATCCCCACCAAATGAAAGGCAATACTAACAAATATCAAAGCAGATGGCAAAGACTCTAATACTACACAATACTCCACAAAAATGGCATGACAACAAAACAAAAGAACAAACATGACAGTGAAAGGGAAAAAAGAAAAACAACTTTTCTGTGCAAATGGACCAATTTTTCTCCCTTTTTTTTTACCTGGGATTTAAACTATTAATTTAATTTTAGCCCCAGGAGCACATATGCAGGAAATCATATTAAGCCAATCCAACAGAATCCTCATTGTTAATTACTTTATAGTTGAAGGTAACATCACCAAGTACTATCATGCGACCATAAGACCAAACATTCCTTTGTGCCTGAACATTTTTTTCTTATGCTACCAAATAGTAAAAGTGACAAAGCAAGCAGGAATTTTTGGTTTTGTTTTTCTTTTCTGCACCTTAAGAAATGCTACATTGTCTCTAACCCCCCCTCCCCTGTCTTTTTATTAAATGCACTGTTTTAATGAGCGACACAGAGCAAACGAAGACCAAATGAGAAGTTTAAAATGCAGGCTCCACAATCTCAGTACCTTCTCGCTATGGCTATGCTCCTCATTTAGAGTTGTGCTACTACACGTATCTACCCCAGAGTCTTTAACTTGAGGCTCAGACCATTCCAAGTCCTCTTCCAAAGAGTGGCCGCCAAAGCACACCATTTTCTTTTGTCTCTCAGATAAGGTGTTAGAATCCGACAAAACTGCCTGCTCACTAGTTTTTCTTTTTCCCCTTTGACTGTCCCCTACAAGTGTGGGATAAAAAAAAGGGATACAAAAAAGAAAACGTGCAAAGGTATAAATAAAACAAAGGAAAAGTGAAATGATAAAGTAAACTGAATGGTAAGGCTCCACATGTCTCACCAAAGACATTGGGGATGCCTCACTGCTATGCCAAGACGTATGGTCCACCCAGTTGTAATCCATGTCTCCTGTGAGAATCAGACAGACAAGATAGTGCAAGTAAAGGAAAAGCGAAAGAAAGGACAGACACAGATATAATAAACTTTAAAAAAATTGTGGTTATCCTGCCTGATTCATAACCTTTGTCTGTAACACTTGCTATAATGTTTTCAAGAGAAAGTTGAGACTCTAAAACAATGGAATACACAGAATGTGGAAAACTGTGCATGTGTATGTGTGTGTGTGTGTGTGTGTATATTCAATATATGTAACATATAAAGACTATACCATTAACAGTTCTTTGAAATTTTTATGAAAATACCTATAAATATCACAAAAAGATTCGACAACTTATTGTGTACACATTCAAAACTTTCTGGACATTGACAACACTAAGTGTAACTTGCATCATCTTTGTCAGTATTGACCTAATAATGGGTTTGTCTTGTTGGAAGGGCCTTCTTGCCTTTTTCAGACCAAAATAATGATTTATCTCTACACAGCTATAACAAAACATCAAAACAGTGAAATTCTATATCTCACTTTATTGTAATAAGCTTCAGAATGTTGAAACACCTGTCAAGAGATGATAGATCATTAAGAAAAATAAAAGGTACGAAATACTCAGAATTGATTGATATTAACTTTGCATAAAATTTATAGAAAAATTTAACATTCATGAATTAATGCGGGCAAAATTATTGCTATTGTATTGTTATCTCAAAACATGGACTCAATGGACTGTATTTTGATACATAACAAACTTAAAATATTTTCATACAATATAAATGTAATTAATTTTTTTTTTAATAAATGGAAATATCCTATCTCCTAGAGCTGGAAGGGACTTTGAAAGGTCATTGAGTCCAGCCCCCTGCCTTCACTAGCAGGACCAACTACTGATTTTGCCCCAGATCCCTAAGTGGCCTCCTTAAGAATTGAACTCACAACCCTGTGTTTAGCAGGCCAATGCGCAAACCACTGAGCTATCCCTCCCCCCAGAAAGTTGATTTCTTAGATAAACTGAGCGATACTCATACTTTTGAACAGTTGTTCCAAAGGATTAATGCTAATGTCAATAAAAATGAGTGATAATACATGACTATGTGCTATATAAATATTTCCCCATTTATCTAGGTTTTGTAAATTGTAGAATATGCCTAAGTCTTTTGGCCTTATAACATTTTCCTTATACTTTAGAACCATAAATATCATGTTACTATATGTGAGAATTTTTATTGTATCTTTATTTTCTTATTCAAGGCTAACTCCTGCCTCCTGCATCTAACTGCAAGTGTAGGGTCCAATAGGCAACAGAACCCATGTGGTTATGGAATCCATGGTACAGGTCCCTAAGACACCTCACCTGTATCTGCCTTGTACCTCAGACCATTGCTCTGTGGGGGCTCAATATGTGCTATTGAAACAGCTCAGAGAAATTTGGGATAGTTCACATTAGGTGACAGGGAAGAGTATAAGTAGTGAGTCTGATATCACTCTGATCCGCTGACCAACACATCTTGCATATGGGATGAACAGATACAGACCCCACAGAACTAACTACCCTACACAAAGCTTATTCATGGTTTGGCAAGAGGAAGGAATGGGGAAGACAGAGTTCTTGTCATGGAGGGGAATAGAGGACATGGGAAGAAATGGGAAAGGAGGTGCATAAAATGCAGCTGGTTTAGGGAAAGAATGGGGGAACCTGTTATGGGAGTTGGGGAGTACACAGAGAATCTGGCAGATAAAAGATTGGGGAGCCTGGCAGGGAGACCCTGAAAAGGAGGGGATGGGAAGCTGGCACACAGGGAGCTCATATAGTGGAATGGAGGAATGCAAGGAGCATCTGGCATGTGCAACAAGCTCAGCCTGCACAAGCAATGAAATGTGCAGCTCCCTAATATACAATAAACACTGCAGGAAAAACAGAAACTTGAAATGTATCTACACTCTTCAGTATCAATACCTTAGCCCTGCAAACTTCTTCAAATTAAAAAAAACCCTCTTTATGTGTACATAAAAATGGCACTGAAATAATGTTAAGGGTTGGTTTTAAGATCCCAATGGGACAAAATTCAGGGGGAAAATATGAAAATCTCTCCTTAACTCTGTCTATACATTATTTAGTCCATATAGTGTATAAGATCCCCCACTATTCTGAGGTTCTCTGGAAAAAAGTCTTAATCAGTTCTACTTGTATTTCTGGTCATGTTTAAGATCCTCAATGATTCCCAATCATATCTGCTCAGATTACAAAGAAGAAAGATTGCGGGGGAGGGTTCTGATATAACTGCCAACCTCACAGACTTAACCTGGAATTTGAAAGTCCAGCTAATCTCTGTTTAACACATAAATTATGGAGATACTAATGATGGACCCATGGCTAAGGTCAGAGTTAAACTGCACTTAAAGCAACAGGACTACTGAATATGTGGGTGCTATTTTTAAAGTCACTATTCAGAGGTGAGTTGCACATTAAGCTTGACCCTTGATGTTATGTTGACATATTTTAGCATGTGAAGTTTCCTTTGATTTCATAAAACTTAACTAATGTTGAAAACAAATCTCATGAAAGTATCTAGAAGTTTACATATTCTAAATAATTATTATTTAAAGGTCTGAGCCTGCTGTCATTCAAATCAATAGGAGTTTTGCTTGATTTCACTGAAAACAGGATTAGACCCTACTATGAAAGGACTTCTTCAAAGCCATGGTCATCGATCATAGGAAGAATAGTAAAAGACCAATATGGCTCCAGCAGGAGCTCTTTAATGACCTGAAAATCAAAAAGAAGCCACCAAAAAGTGGAAACATGGATAAATTGCTATGGAGTACAAAATAGCAGCTCAAGAACATAGGAATAAAATCAGAGAGGCAAAGACATAAAATGAGTTACACTTAGCAAGGCACACAAAAGGCAATAAGAAGAGTTTCTTTTAACAGAGAAAGATGTAGATGTAAGTCCTCTACTTAGTGAGGAAGGAGAGCTAATAGCTGATGACATCAATAAAGCCGAGGTGTTTAATGCCTATTTTGCTTCAGTCTTCACTAAAAAGGTCAATGGTGATTAGATACTCAACACAATTATTGTTAACAACAAGAGGGAAGGAATGCAAGACAAAATAGTGAAAGAACAAGTTAAAGAAGATTTAGATAAGTTAGATGTATTCAAGTCAGTGGGACCCAATGAAATTCATCCTAGGGTACTTAAGGAACTAGTTGAAGCATTCCCACAACCTTTATCAACTATCTTTGAGAATTCCTAGAGGATGGGTGATGTCCCAAAAGACTGGAGAAAAGCAACCATAGTACCTGTCTTTAAAAGGGGGAACAAAGACAACCTGGGGAATCATAGACCAGTTAGCCTGACTTTGATACCTGGAAAGATACTGAAACAAATTATTAAACAATTTGTAGAGAATCTGGAGGATAATAGGATTATAAGGAATAACCAACATGGATTTGTCAAGAACAATCATGCCAAATGAACCTAATTTCCTTCTTTGATAGGGTTACTAGTCTAGTGGATGGGGGGAAGCAGTAGCCGTGATATACCTTGATTTTAGTAAGATTTTTGACAAAGTCCCCAGTGACATTCTTATAAACAAACTAGGGAAATGTGGTCTAGATTAAATTACTATAAATTGGGTACACAACTGGTTGAAAGACCATATTCAAAGAATAGTTTCAATGGTTCGCTGACAAACTGGGAGGATGTATCTAGTGAAGTCCCACAGGGGTCAGCTCTGGGTCCAGTACTGTTCAATATTTTAATTAATGACTTGGATAATGGAGTGGAGAGTATGCTTATAAAATTTGCAAATGACACCAAGCTGGGGGAGGAGGGGAATTGCAAGCACCTCGGAGGGCAGGATTAGAATTCAAAATGACCTTGACAAAGTGGAGAATTGGTCTGAATTCAACAAGATAAAATTCAATAAAGATAAGTGCAAAGCATTTCACTTAGGAAGGAAAAATCAAATGCACAACTACAAAATGGGGAAAAACTACTGAGGTGATAGTACTGCTGAAACAATGTGACACAGCTGAAAAAAGGCTAATGTCATTTTGGGGTATTTTAACAGGGGTTTTGTATATAAGACGCAGGAGGTATCAGTCCTCCTTCATTTGGCACTGGTGAGATCTCAGCTGAAGTACTGTATCCAATTCTGGGTGCCACATTTTAGGAAAGATATAGACAAATTGGAGAGAGTCCAGAGAAGAGCAATAAAAATGAAAAAAGGTTTAGAAAATCTGACTTAAGAGGAAAGGGTAAGTAAACTGAACACAGTAAGTCATGAGAAAAGAAGACTCAGTAGGTGACCTGATAACAGTCTTCAAATATGTAAAAAGTTGTTATAAAGAGGACGGTGATTAATTGTTCTCCGTGTCCAGTGATGGTAGGACAAGAAATAATGGGCTCAATCTGCAGCCAGGTTAGATATTAGAAAAAACTTTCCAACTATAAAGGTAGTTAAGATCTGGAATAGGCTTCTAAGAAAGATTGTGTAATCCCCATCATTGGAGGTTTTTAAAAATAGGATGGCCAAACACCTGTCAGGGATGGTTTAGGTCTACCTAGTCCTGCCATTGCACAGAATGGTCCTAATAATAAACTAATAATATCCCCACTAGTAGTGTCTGGGAGACTACATAGCCATCGGGTGGTTGTTAATGCATCCCGAGAATACAAGACATGGCAGGTACTGCCAGAACAGCACGACCCCAACCTCAATCCCGCCCCACTGGCATGACCTTGCACACACAGTACATGTGAGGTCATGCCGCATAGATGACACCATTTTGCAGAGCGTGCCTCCCCCCGCTGCCATGACCTCGC